CCGCGGAAACATTTTTTTTTCATTTTTCGTAAAAAGTAAAGTACAAAAGTTTTTTTTTTTGAAAAAATATATTTTACCATCAATTGATTGCTTTAAAAATGAAATGTTATTATATTTACCGCTAAATTGAGAAAAAATTTAAAAAATGCTACTTAGTTTCAACCGAAATCTCAAAAGAGGCTTCACATACGTATATCCATAAATTTTTTTATTTGTATGAAATTTTCAATTTATTTGTGACTTGTAGAAATTTTTTTATTTATTTAAATGTCTCAATTTGATTACCATATTTGATTTAAATTAAAATTTTCTTTATTTCCTAAATTTTCATGCTGAAAATATTTAAATTTATTTACTTACGCTGAGAATACTAAATCCTTGCACTTTTGAGAGCTGACATCACTTACATACACACATACAAGGCCATGGGAATCGGAGTTGCCTATCTTCAAAATCATTAAAATTTATGAGACAATAGGGGGATTCTCGAATTCATGCAAAGCCTTTGCATTGTTCGTGGATTGCAAAACTTTCCCATAGGATAAGCGGTTTTTACTGAGCAATCCGTGCACTGTGCAAGGCTTTGCAAAACTTCGCGAATACCCCTATTTTTGCAAAATTTTTTTGTCTGGTTATGACCAACACCTTTCTATTAAGCAAACATTAGATAGGCAATATTATATTTTTTCAGGAATACAGATAAAGCTCTCTGGCTTTCACTGCCTCATACATGCATATATTGATTTTGAAATAAAAAACTACTTGTAAAATTGAAGAAATCTAATAAAAAAAAACTACATACTTTCCTAGAAAAAAAATATTTGTATGTAAATGATACAAAAAAAAAATTTGTGCGAAAAATTTATTTATTTTAAGCAGAGCTAAATTATTTCATAAAACAATAATTATAATCATATAAATTCTTGATAAACTAATTTTGGCAAGATATATATAACTTAAAAATAATATTTTTTTTAACAAACTTATTAGCATCACACATGCACAAATGAATTTGTGAACGAAAAATACGTATATGTAATCAATAATTTTTGCCTTGTCAATTAATTAAAATTAAAGAAGCAATAAAATTTATAGACTAATAAATTAAAAATTAACAAGATTGTTTTCATAAAGATATTGGGATGCTTTTAAAACAAAAATTTCTTCGCATCGACTTATGTTAATACATTTTTGCCAAAAATGCAGGATTTTCAAAAATTTTTTTCTGCTGAAGTATAACTTTGATATGATATAATTTATAGTATACATACATTCTTTTTTCTAATGATAACTTAACGTTAGAAATATTAATACCTAATTTAAACAATTTAGAATTTTCAATATTTTTTTAAATTTTTTTACTTAAAGTTTTAATCACATATAAAAAAATTTAATTAGTTTTTCTAAGGTCCGTTTTCTGAAGTAGGTTGTAAAATTTATCTGCCCCTTAAACAGAACTTTTGTTTGTGTTTGAAGTGCAGAGAAATGTTAAAACCTACTTGAGAAAACGGCACTAAAGAACTAAATTGTTTTCAGTACTATTTTTTTAAATTTTTACTTGGGTTTGCCAGAAAAAATAATATGACTAACAAAAGAAAGTTTTTATGAAAACAATTACATTCAATCGAAAAATTAAACATTTTAGAAAAATTCTAATTTGGTCAAACACTATATTTTCTTAACTGGAACATGCTAATTTTTTGGTGTGAACAATTTTTGTTTACTCAGTTTGTGCAGAAAAAAGCTATTTAGGGGATTCGCTCCATCCGAAAAGCTAAAAAAGTTTAAATTGAATTTCATAAGAATAAAATCCGTACATATATAAAAGAATACTTTGTATATTTTTTATACATAAAGGAATTGAAAAGAAAAACCTTAAAAAAAGTTTCAAGGCAATAAATATTGAACCTAAAATTTTTTTACACTTACCATTTTAATTTTTTTTTTTACGAGCATATAGAAAGTATATACATACGTATAATGATTAAGTTTCCTATACTTTTAATTAAAAAATTAAATACAGGAATGTTCCATCTTATTGGTATCACTAACCACACACTAAAACCGATTCTTTTTTAGTGTTGATGAACGCTGAATTTTAGTTTTTCTTTTTCTAAGAAAATATGAAATAAAAAAAGCAAATAATATTTTAATAGAGAATCTTTTAATGAAATTAAGAATTCATAAAATACAAAAAAGTTCAAAAGCCAAAGGATTCAACCTAAAAAGAACTTCTCCGCATATATTAAGTCGAAAGTCGGTTAAAGGATTATTTGAGATATGGCACTCAAAAACGTGTTTGTTTAGATAAAAGATTTAAGTATTTAAATTAGAGGACCAAGGCTTGAAGTAGTCGGTTCATGGATCGAGCGGACGTCAGCCCATTGGGCATCTCTGTTGAACAGACTTTAGAAGTAGGCATAGGGTGATCAATGGAAAGCTCGCAGGTTGCGCTAATTCCTCGGAGGCAGCCTGTTTAAGCGAGGGTTGCAGTGCTAACTACTTTCTGGAAAATTTTTAAATTTATTAAAGATTTATACTTCTTTCAAGAAGTAAAAAACGTTTGACTTGAATTTCAGCGCTCACCACTTTTCACAAATTCACTACAATAAAAAATGAAAATATATATATTTTTTTTCTGGTCACACTTGTCTTGCGTTGCTTGGCTTGCAAGCTTGTTAACTTACTTACAAATTCCTAGTCTTCTTTTACAAAATTTGATATTTCATTTTAAATGCAGCGTTACTGACTTAATGCTTATGATCTGTTTTTCTACACTTGACTTAAAAATTATTTCTTTATATTTCTTTTATTACATTTTATATTTTATTATAGCCACTACAACTTGACTAAACACTCTGTTTTTTTCTTAATATTTTATTACTATGCTAAACTATTACACTAAATTCTTATTTTATTTAAGTTTAATTTTATTACATACAAACTTTATAAATAAATATTTTTACTCATCATCAGCTGATATTTTTTTGTTTTATATTACAATACAGACTACACATATTTTTTATTGCCTACTTCATCTTTATTTTAGACTTAAGCCTACTGTACAACAGTCGTTCATTTTTGCAGTATGTGTTTATATGTGTAACGCAAGCATGTACGAGTACATATGCACATTAGGACGGGTCACTTTTTATTTTATTTTTAACTATGCGAGTATCGCATTGAAGTATTCTACCTGTAATTCTAAGCAAATTAGCTGAAGAAATCATGGGTCTAAAATCAATTAAGAGTTTTCCGAAGTACGAAAATAAGTTTCTAAGTAAATGGTGAAAATTTTCACTGTTGCGCCCACTAGTGGAAGTTTTAAGAAAAAGATAAGTGCCGAAATTGATTCTTCATCCCAAAAACCTCCTTAAAGCAAATTTTTATACAAAATTGAAGCATTTACGACACCACAGCAAAATGCTTAGGAAAATACACCTATTTTCGCAATTTGGCAAGCTCGAAATTGATTTTGGAGCCATGGTTGCTTCGGTAAATTTGCTTGGAATTAAATGTTAACTACTTCTGTGCGACATCCGCATAGTCAAAAAAAAAAAAATCAATTTCCATACAAATTGACCCGCCCTAATGTATCTACATACACTGCCGGCGCTACATGGGACTTTTATGTGGAAATATTTTTCAGTTCGAACGGAAGCTTAAAGATTATCTGCGTGTGTGTGTTTGAGTGTTGTTGTAAGTACTTTCGCAATATCCTTTTACCTGGAGATGCCAGCTTTAACACGGGCCAGACATGTTACAAGTGCACACACATACAAATGTCTGCATAAATTCGCATTTTCCACCACAAATTGTTAAGCGTAAGCTTAAATTTCTCTTCATGTTAGTGGTTTTGTATGTATGTATGTATTTATATGTGTGCATACGCTTGGCTATAACTGGCTGCAATTTCACATTTAAAGTCATGGATAATTGTGGCCATATTGTGCTTGAGTTGTTATCCGTTGCTGCCGCTGGATGCGCTATGCTATCACTCGCGCCAGTCGTTGCACTTCAGTTGCGCGCTATTTCGTGGTTGTTGTTGTTGTTGTAGTTGGTACTGACCTCGTCGGCTACTTCCGTATCTCATTTGTTGCAGCACTTTATGTTGTATATATCCGTGTTGTTAATTGTAGTGGTTGTTGTTGTCTTAATTTTTGTTTTGTTGTTACAGTAATTTTTGTTGTTACAGTTGTGTATGTCCTGTGCGTAATTTATGCTATTTTCGTCGCTTGTGCGTCGGCAATAAAACCGTGCCATCGGCATAAAAGTAACCTCACAATTTCGATGGATCGTAATTTTCGAGCTTCCATTGTTGTCGCAGTTGATTCGAATCGCACTCTTCCATGAGCACTTTGTCTTTCTTCTCCGAAATGGCTAAACACTTGTCGGACGGACCGTGTCGTATTTGATGATTTTGCTGATTGTATTTCCAGAACTGCAAAAAATGTGGAGAGAGAGAGAGAAAGGCAGTGCGTGAGATGAGAAATATTGGCAATAAGTAATACTAAGTAGGCTGTAATTATTCTCATATGTGACCTGGTCTACGAAACGGGAGCTTACGTGCGAAAACTAGTTTTCTGTGAAAAAGCTGTTAAAAGTAAGCAACTCGTTTCGTCAGTTTCTCATTATCTCGTTAATTGTTCTCCGCGCCGGACGACCAGTAAGTGTTGTTGTTGGTCCAGTAAGTGTTGTTGTTGGTCGGAATATTATTATAGTTCATCGTGTAAATAAATTATATTTTGTCGTATTTTTACTCTTCTTTCTCTACATTTTTAGTACACTTCTAAGCAAGTTAGGATTTTCTGCTTTTCACCACGTGAAAAAGCATCTCATCTTCCATCCGAATCAACCAAAAAGTGAAAGTTTATTTTTTGACACCTAAGCCCCCTTTCCGTAGACCAGGTCACATATATTGTCGTTATCGAGCCTGCTTTGTAAATACGCATGTATACAAGAGTGGTTCAAGTTTTGTATCAGAAGAAAAAAAAATGTCATCGAAAAAAACGTGGCATCCCCTTTATTTTTTCCCCTTTTGGTATACGTAAATTCTATAGCAACTTCCAATTTTCTACTGTAAGCAAAACAGGGTGCTCAAGGACCTTGAAATGCGCTACTGAATCCCTTTGAAGTTTAAAAAAAATTGGTGATTTTTTATATAAAGCGACTGTTGCCATGACAACCGAAGATTGAGTATTTTTCAGCTAATTCAAATTTGAAGTGTTCTTAGGTTGCTTAACCAACTGTTTGGTTAATATATGTACAAAATACTTCTAGAGCAAAACGTAAACATTTCATGAGCATCCTCTAAATTTATACTTAGAAACTTAGAAGTTTGGTGCCAGCAATTTTTTTTAAAGAGGAAAAATTTTGGTAAGGGCCCCGAAACTTATTTCGGATTTTTTTTTTACCACCTTAATGTACATGCTGATCGATATAATTCACGATATATCAAATTGATGTATTTGTATTCCTGTATTTATCGAGTTTTTCATCGATATTTTAAACGAAACATAATAATACATATTTCAATTTAGATAATTTTAAATGCCTATTGCTGTCGATATATATATCGATACATGTTCCGGTAACACAATACGGATATTTCAAAATATTGTTTTTTATACACATATTGTTGCCGATGTATTTATAGTTAGATTTTCGTTACATTTATCGACATACATATCTATCGATATTATTGTTGATATATAGCATTTTATTAACTAAACCTACAAAAGGGTGTGCCTGCCTCTGACAGCTTATTATGTCTCAGGGTTAAGTTTGCTTGGCCCACCGATAAGATCTCAAATAAATCAACCTTAGGCTTCGCTGCCTGTACCGAAATGTCAATTAAAATGACTGGGAGGAGTCGAATACTCGTTTTTTCATCCTCGAGTAAAATTTCTCTGGTTTGCATTAAAAAAAATGTGGAAAAATCTGTGAACTTACGCTAGAGTACCTATAATATTGAAATATCCTGTTGCTTAAATGCTGGTGTTAAACCTAAATTCCGCTTTCGTTTGAGGAACTGGCAATGTTATCAGCTGTTTCTTTTTGAACCAAACGAGGGCTAAGCAAATGGATTTTCGTAATCTTAAACTGGGAGGTAGATGAAATCCTTATTGGTATTCGATGAATTTGATTTATTGGATTCTGCCAGCAAGTAGTTTGGCGAAGAAATATGCTAGGCCCTACACTTTTAAAAAAAAAATCGTTCTGCTCTACAGCCAAAGGCAAGGTGGATTTTTGATCAAGACGGAAGTTAACAAGGCAGAGGCATAGTGCTCCATTGTTCGTGCCCGCTGTGAGTGAATGCTAATAAGAGGCACATTCTCCTAACATTTTTACAAAGAGAAAATCAAGGCATCAATGAAAATTGGCTTGGTACAACAGTGTCACCTCCACTATTTCTGCCGGATTGGCGAAGAAGCCGGCTTATCGACACTGAAAGTGGTGAATTGATTCTTAGTTCGCTGTGATAATGTCGACTAGAAGTCTTGCCGCAGATCTGTTAAGTTTTAGAAGGTCTGCCGTATTTTGCCTATTTAATCGTGGAAAAATAATTTTTTAACGTCTATGGTCTATTCACTTATATTTTCTAAAATACTTAAGGTATCACTAAACTGTGGTGATATACAGCTGCCTGCCTCATTTGTTGGCATCTCATGGGGATACCTGGCCAACTCATCCAATGCCTCGCTTTCTTCTATATTTCCTGTTCGGTAATCCAACAAAGAGTGACTTTGAGATGGCTCAGTACTGCCAACGCCGCTGATATTCCAGTACAAATCCCCAATTTAATTACTTTGGATAATATTGCCAGCTGGGACCGTTATATTTAGTAGCATAAATCTCAGCTTAGAAGTCACTGTAGTCGTTTTTATACGCAAATATTAACTAAGTTATAGATACTCCTAGTAGAGACCAGCGCCGTTTCCCTGCTCTATCCTTGTACCATTAATGTAAACGGATATATGCTGTATGTATTATCGTCTACCATTGCACTATGGGCAATTTGATCTTTTTTTGTGGCAAAAAGTCGTTTTTCATACTTACAAAAATAAACTTTTAGCACTTGGTATTTGATAAAGAAAACTTCAAATCAAATAGCGGTGTCTTATCAGGTGGTCAAAATCGTTATCTGCGATTGAAATATTGGAATCGATTACTTATTTATGTGTTTTTTAGCTATTTTCAAACTAAAATATTTAAGTTATTTATCTAAAAAATTAACAAAAATATAGAAAAAAAATTAAGTACTTTTAACTGGTAGTTTTTTGATAAGTTTTATTTTTTTAGGGAAAAACTTTTAACCCTTTGTCTACCGGTCGGGTCCAATGGACCTGAATGAGATTTTATTGTGTTCCCATATCAAGTTTTGATGCTTGTGAGTTCGGTAACTCCTTCACTTTGCTTATTTCCATATATTCTACAGTTTTTTGATCATGTAAATTTGTTTAAATAATTAGTATTTGTATTGTTAATATAGCGGGAAGTATGTTGGGCCCACGTTTATAATTACGTAGGGACCCATTTGCCCGAATGGTAGGTAATGCTAGTTTTTCCGCGGTAGACAAAAGGGTTAAGAAAAATTAAATTTGGAAAAGAGTTTAAAATTTTAGACTTATAGCCACTGTATAAATAGTTTTGATAACTATTCAAACTTTTTCAATAAAACCATACATAAATTAAAAAGTGACCCCTTCGGTCGTCAAGGGTTAATGTTTTTTTTTTGCAAAAATGTGCCAATCAATTAAAATTTGTTTTTTTTTTCAATAATCTTCTAGTTGCCACAAATTACCCATTGTGCAATGATGGGTTTTCATTCCATTCTCCAATGGTAGGAACCCCTATAGGTATTCCCGTGTTGAAGCCTCCAGCCCTCTTTATTTTTTATTTTACTACTTATATATAAACTCTCAAGTATTTATAAACAATTAAATGTGCCATTCTATTAACCTATTTCCACCCAACGCTTAACTGTAGTTAAGAGCTCAGATAAGTTACAATAATTTTAACAATAGGTGATCGGCAAAGTTTTTTTCTTAATTTTTGTTTTTTCCACTCGTTTGCTGGCACTACTTCGAGTTGTAATCTGTTTTTTCCAATAGGCATAAACTGTCATTAAGGCTCTGTGCTAATGTTCTATAAACAACCTATTTTCACTAACTTAGAAAATTTACTATTTAGCTTTAATAGTACTAAAGTTATAAACAAGTTTATATTTAAGCCTATACACAGTTCTTTGGTCACAAATCGAGATTTGAGGGGGCCTATTGAAAATTCTGAGCATGCAGTTTTTCTTAACTTTACCAGATGTACATATAACATTTTTTTTCGTCACATAGTATAATTTCTCGTCTTAAATTTGCCTTACTAATTACAGCGTTCAATATTTTTCCAATTCGCGAGTCATACTCGAAACAAAAGGCAACCATTCAGCAATTTTTCGCTTTAACCAATCATTCATGCAGTCCTCCATTCACATACCACTTTGGCGGCCAGCAGCATAAACTTTTTGAGGCTTACCTGATTTCCTTTGGAACCGTGACATGGATACAGTATCACATCGTGGCCAGCATAATCAAGACAGGCTTCATCGCGTCGTATTTCACCCGCTTTGCTGAGCATCCAATACTGTAGAGACGCGTGCAAAACGCGTAAGTGAGTGTGTGTGCGTACATGTGTGTAGTTGGTTTGTCATGCGGCGAACGCGCGGCATATGTCGTTTGCAGAAGCATTCGTTGGATTTGATGGGTCGTATGGTTGGTTGTTTTGCAAGTTGGTTGGTGGGTTTGGTGAGTTGGTTGGTGGTCGACATACGACATAGATGTACGAGGAGTAATGATGATTTCGTAGCAGCAACCATTCAACATTAATGCCAGTGACAAGAGCAGCAGCGGAAGCAGCAACAGCAGAAGCATTCATTCAAAGCACATCCCAAGCGGCAAGTTGGTGGAAAATAAAATATTGGAAACATTTCGTTAGTGGAGTGGTAATAAAAAATGGCGCAAACGGAATGCGTGCGTAAAATAATAAAAAAATGTGCAATGAGTAAAAAAGTATAAATCGAAAGAGAAATGAAGAGCAAATGAAAGGAAAATTATTTATGAAAGAAAGAAGTATAAAAAAGTATAAAAAGTGGCGAAATAAAAATGGCAAATGGCAAATGGAAAACCGGCAAGCGTATGAATGATATGTAAAAAAAAAGAAGAAATATATAAAAGTAGCTAAAGGTGATTGTGTGTTGCAAATGCATAAGTATGCGTATGGAAATATGTATGTTTGCACTCTGTAGCAGTTTCAGTCGGATACTGAAGCTTCTGTGGCATTCAACATTAAGTCGGTGAATGCTATGTATATGTCTGAGTGTAGTTGAAGTAATATTTTTGGAAGTTTGTGTGTAAGTGTATATGTATGTGTGTAAGCTAGTAGTATTTGTGGTAGTAAAGCTTGCCTTAATTTATATTAATCTATGGATATATATAGCGTATGTATGTATGTACTGCGAATGCTACTTCAATAAGAATTCGTTAATGTGAAAACGAATTAATATGCACATACAGATGTATGCTGCGTGAATGCATGCCGCAAATATGTTCGTATGATGATAATTCTTTTTGCCATTCTGTTGGGAATTGGCAATTTGAATGCTGGTTAAAATTATCATTACTTTTTACAAGTGCGGATGCACACACAGAGATGTATAGAAATGCTTGATTGTAATACTTATAAAGTTGTATCTCAAAATGATGCAGTCAATGCACTGAATTGAATTTTAAGTGTAATAGCGAATAAAATGCAAATTCATATACAATTATGATACTAAAAAAAAGATATACCTATTTATACGTGAATGTAGTTGCATAGCTACATTTTTTAGCGAAATTTAAATCTTTTTTACCCGCTTGTTATTATCAACTTTTTTAAATTTTATTCACTACCA